TTGCATAGTGGTGAACCAGGAGAATACTTAAATACTGTAGAGGTGGCTGCAGGGGAAGACTGACATGGATAGGAGCCAAAATCCATCTGCGTGCAGACAGGTATGAGGGTTCTGAGGGACTGGGAATTCCACCTGGAGTCAGCCCACCACAGGGGCCATGACACAGCCCCAGGCCAAATTCACACCCTGGTCAGGCAGCTGGCTGGGCAGACTGGCCAAACTGGTGCTCCTGTCACCTCCTCCCTGCTGGGATCCTGCTCAGATGCTGGCTCAGGACTGGGACTTGCAGACAAGGACCTTGCTTAAAATAAGAGGTGGCAATATTTGATGAAGCTTTTGGCCACATTGCTGAACAGCAAATTGGACAAGAAGGTGGTCCAGAAGAAGGGAGGAGGAAGGAGGGGAATCTTCCCCAGCCCTTGCCCTGATTCTGTGGTGATCAGTGCAGTCTGAGTGCCAAGAACAATTCTTCTCTTTCCATACAGCCACTGCAGTTACGTGCTGGGGAATGAACAACAAGATGAGGCACTACCTCCCTGAAATAACTATGGTTTAGAAGGTGAAGTAGAATCTGCTGGGATCAAATTAATATAGCCAACAACTAAGTGTTTTGATTGTGATATTGGTCAGAAATTTCACTTGTAAGACCCTGAACCAAATCCTCACACTGGATAAGATTTTACCCACATTACCTCAGACTGCACCACAGTGACCACCCAGCTGGGGCTTCTGCTCCAAGCCATGCAGGAGGGGTCAGACCAACTAGCCAAGGGCCACATTGCATGCTGCACTGAGCCTGTCCCAGGCTGAGTCCCTTAATGATGGAAAATAAAATTATGTTTTATTTAAATTATGCCATTGCACTCTTTAGGATGTCACATACTACAGGAAAGCCTGGTTGTGCTGCCACAGCCTGAGTGGTCCCAGAGCCATCAGGAGATGGTGGCAAATGCTATTAGAGAGCCTTTTCTTAATTAAGCAAAACTTGGGCACACGTTAGAGGTCATCAGCAGCCACCTGTCTGAGCCTACAGGGACACTTGGGCAGGACTCCCTGGGCAGAAAATCAGATTTATAAGCTCCAGTGCAAATTGCTGGGCTGGGAGCTGGGTGAGGGGGCCTGTCCCACTGAGGGGAAGCCAGAGAAGGGGAAGGGATGCTTCTCTTCCAGTGAAGTCAGAGTGATTTCAGACTCCCTTATAGTGCCAGTGCCCTGGAGCAGTCCATATGTGACAGCTTTAATGCTGCCTGCTTCATTAGTTGAGCAATCCAAGCTAACTGCCACTATTTAACACACAATTGCACAGCTAATTTTGTGTAAAATTGTAACACTGATGACATCATAACACTACTCCAGAGGTCGAATAGGTGACCGAAATCCACGGTTCCCTTAGGCAGGGGTTGGACATTAGGTAAAAACCTTTTGTGCACCAGTGACAATACAAATCCCTAGGACCCTTCTTTGAAGGCTTTTAGAGGATTCATAATCTCCAAAGCTGCAACCTTCATGAGCATGCTCTGCCCCACCAGGTGAGTTAAACTTCCATGCCTTTCTCCCCTGCTGGAGTGGGCTCTAGGCAGGACTGTGAACTGTGTTTCTTCACTGCCCTCTCTCTTTTCTGGGAAAAGAAATAACACCTCTTTTTCTTGTTTTTTTCCCCCATTGCTTCTCAGTGTTAGCTGCTGGAAACTTATTTTTATCATGCAACAAGTAATCAGCCTGTGCAACTCCTTTCTGCAGGATGTCAGCCTTGCATTCAGAGTGGATTGTGTTGTTGCTTGAACAGACAGAGCACCTAAAGTCATGAAAATATCTGTTAAAAACTGTGGAGAAGAGATGTTTCAAGCTGCTTTTTAGACTGCCAGGACTCTGGGGGATATTCCTATAGGACTGCTGTAGTTGAGGTGACTTTTGCTAGTCAGGGTGCCTGGTGGGACTCTGGGCTTTCTGCCTGACCTTGCCTGAACACCTCGGTCTCCTTCAGCATTTACACAATGTGGTATCAATGCAGTTGTCTCTTGACACGTTGCCACAGTGACAGGTAAAGAGGCCAAGCTTTGGTTTTTACAAAACACACCCCATTCTTCATATCTGGGTCTATCCTGAGTAAATACTCAAGGCTAGGGGCAGAAATGCAGAGTAAAAAGTGCACAGTCAGGTACAAATACATGAGTTCTGATGCTGTCCCACTCCTCCCATCTTCTCTTGTTCCCATCCTCTTCCTGAGCATTACCTGCTGATGGATTTCATGGAACTCACTATAAAACCTGGCAAGATGTCCACTTTTTCAGCGATTGCATGGTGGAGCCTTGAGACAGCTCTTTGGAACTATTCTGCCCTGTCCTAAGGAGTATCAACATGTCCACACAACAGCAACCACCCAATTGAGGATTTCAGTGTGAAGAAAACACAACAGGGTAGCATTTGCTTCAAATTGCTCCAAAAAAGGATGCAATTCTGAGGGTAAATCACAAAAGCCCTTAGCTAGTACCTTGGGGACTATATTACATACCCTATATTACTCTGTTGTCCTCACATTCCCCCTGGGCTGGCTGCTCTCCTTCCTCTGTCTTCAGTTTGTGTCATGACTGGTACGAAAAGTCCCTTACCTCTAGGTTACCATAGCAGTGAACAGCCAAAGAGAGATGTTGCAGACCATGTTTTTAGATGGAAAGCTGGGTTTAATATGTGTGTTTGCTTGTAATTGCCTCTGCTTATGTTTATGTTAATCACAGGGTTTCTGAGACCTCAGAGAACCATTTACAGCACCAAACTAATGAGCTTTTTTCCCCTTATGACACTTCATTTCCTGGGCAGTGTGGCCACTGAAAAAAGAGAAGCACTTGCATTAATTTTGCCTCATAAAAGACATCCTGATTCATCAAAAGGCAACCAAAACTAAACATTCACCTAAAGATTCAATCACTGACCACCTCAGCTCTGTCTGAATACACCCACATCCCCCACTGTCCATGCTGACAAGTGCTGCATGCTTTATCCCAGTATTTCCCAGCCAGAAGATTTATTCAAACCCCAAGGCAGTTCTCTGGAAACCCCAAAGTTTTCCTGCTAGCCCACATGTTAACCTTTCCCCTTGCCACCCACAGCAGCCAGTGCCAGTTCTCAGACAGATGGGTCAGTGGCTGTTGAGGGATGGGAAATATTTGGTCTCTCTCATGCCTGGACAAACCCTTTTTTGAGTGGTCCCACACACCATCACCCATGAGAAAAGGAAGAGACTGAAACCAGGCATCCAAGACAACCTGCAAGAAGACAAGTTGTTCACTTGGAAGTGAATTTACTGAATACCAACAGTTAGACTTTGTGTCTCAATAGGTCTTACTCGTGCCTCTGACTGGGGATATAATGTTCTATTATGGATTTGATGAGCTGGAAAATAGGGAAAAGGGGTGTGTGATGAAGGATGGGAGAATAAATAAAAAAGCCTGTTGAATTTTTAATGTAAAGTGTAGCCTGACTGGAGGGTAATCTGGCTTTTGGATGCCTTAGAGCATGGAAGAGTTTCCCAGGCAGAGTGGTGGAAATAACTACTGTATTAAGATGCTTCTGTCCGATTCAGGAGATGATCCAGGGCAGTTTTCCAGTCCTGGTATTAAAAGAATAAAAGAACTGGACCAAGAACCCTTGTTTGCATCCAAAACATGACAGAAAACACACACCAAGAATGCAATTAAGCTAACCCACAAAATAAATACATCTGCATTAGCAGAGGACAGTCACCACTTAGAGAACATTCGATGCTCCAGCAGCAGCAGCTCCGAATGGAGGAGCAGCAAAAGCAACACCAAAGGGTGGATCTGTGCCTCGTGACAGAGCTTTGCTGCTCCACAGCTGATGGACAGGGGCAGGACAGAGTGACACAAAATTCTGCAGCACCTCAGGAGCCCCAGCTGTGCTAACAGACTGATCCAACCAGCAGGTGACCTTCAGCCTGGGGTTCCTCATCATCAAGGGAAAAATGGACAATGGGCAGCTGGTGCTAATGTACTGACAAGAGTATGGGAAGGCTGATGGTTAATGATGCTTCATTAATGATTCACCTCTGTTTCTGACCCTGCTCCAAAATCTCCCCAGAGCTCAGAGATGAGCTCTCCATCTAGATTCTGAGTTGAATGAGGGAGACATCCTGGACACAGAGTGGTCTTGGTGGATTCCCATGTCACAGGCATGTCTAGGACATTCCATATCCAAAGGAAGAGAGTGGGGCTGCCAAAGACACCTGAAGCCATCACGTGGAGGTGCAGATTAGCTGTTTGTGGAACCCAGTGACATTTGGGTATGTTTTCTAAAGCAGTATTTCTTTGTACTTAAAGTAACTCTTGACAGTTGTGTCAAGAGTCACATTCCCTCTTTCCAGTATATACAGGAGAAAAAGAAGTATTCAGGAAGGATGAGGTATCTGTATCTCCCTGCTAACTAACAAATGTCTACACTTGGAAATTAAATATTCCAATGTAACCTCTGAATCTTCCAGGTTTCCACCTCCTTGATGTTCTTCTCTCCAGTGCTGACTATCTTTGTTTTGAAAAAGCTTTCCAGCCTTGCCATTTAATTATACCCCTCATCCCTAGGCTTCCACTTTCCCAACAGCTACCTTCCTAGTCCCCCCAGCATGTCTGTAGACTTTATAGCCTTTGTTCTTTGTGATCTTTTCACCTTTAACTTCCTTCTCCAATTTTCTTTCCTTATTTGCCTCTTCCTCTACATTACTATCCCAGTGACAGCTTGTTTCACTCACCTTTGCCACACTGTGTTAGTTTCAATTATTCTGATTTAGCTGATTGAAGCAGTGAATTTGAAGAAACTCCTGTGTCCTCAGCTCAGCTACAAAGGAGGGAGCTACAGTCTGTCACTCACTGCAAGCAAGAGACTCACAACTTCTCCTCTTTGGTGACTTTTTGGTTGCCTTGGAGCAGTCTGGCATTATGACCTCAGTTTCCTTGTCTGTACCAGAGAAGTGCTGGTGCCACCACTGTACCTGGCACTTTCACACCATGCCCAGGTGGCAGAGCATGAAGAGAAGAGCCAGCCCTTGTTACCATCCTCATGTTTTGGTGCTGGTGAGTTTGCAATCCAAGCACGAGGCAATGCCTCTCTTGGCACGTTGCAGTCATGAGGATCAACATTTGTGAGGAACAGCTGAACATAATTGTCCACTTTGCCTGTCAGGATTCTGCAAACATTTTTAGCTTTCCGTGCTGAATTTGAATTTACGTAGCAAGTGACACATTGGACAAGCACTATATTCATCATCTCAGCTGCTCCCTGGCTTCAGAGAAGGGCACAATGTGCCTGTAAAACGGGGCTGGCTCTGGGAGGGGTGCAGCAGTGGCAGGTGCAGGGTCACCTCCCTGCAGTTTGCTTCTATGCAGCTGAGCCGAGGGAGTTTTATAGTGAGATCTTCTCTGCCAAAGACCAGGCAGTATTACACTGATGGAGAAGGATCCTGGGGGCCAGGAGGAAGGCAGTGAAAGTTCTGCACTACCTCACTTGATGCTCTCCTTTAAATCTTAACACAGCCCTCTGCAATTGCTGAGGGATAGATCACCTCGGGTGCTGCACTGCACCACAAGAGCTGGGCCAGGCTGGCTGGACAGGAGCATGTGGGTGGCAGTGAAGAGGCTCTGTGGCTCATGGCTGTGCCCTGATAAACCCAGTGGGAGATGGAGATGGGGTGAGAGAAAGGAGATGGACCTCCATGCTGAGGTCAGTCTCTGTGATGGTCATCAGAAAGGAACGACCTTCTCCCCAGCTGAGCTTTTGTGGGTACCTATTTCACCAGATCTTACAGGATGCTGTTCTGGATACTAAAGAAACTATTTTTAAGAGTAATTTGTTGCACTGTGGGAGCTGAATGCCTCTGACTATGCTGAAGTGAACTGGCTCCAGACTTAACTCCTATGTCCTTTCACCTCTGCCATTTGAGGGACCTGGGATTTGCACCCCAAAGTGTGAAACAACAGAGTATTGGCAATGTTGTTTTAGAGGTGATGAACAGAGGCACAGAGGCTGCTGAGACCTGGCCAAAGGCTCCCAGGAAGCCTGTGGTGGTTGTAGTTGCAAAAACAACCTAAAAAATGGTGGACAATGACCTTCCACCCTGCAAGGAGGGAGGAGAGCCAAGACACATACAGATGCCTGTGTCAGAGAGCAAAGGCAGAGCCTTGCTTTGTGGCTGTGCCAAGTCCCATCCATGGGGACACCCCTTCCAGCTTTGTGCGACTGTGTCTCGGCTTTACACCCCTCCAGAGAAGCTGATCTGAGAAGGACGTGGCTTTTCAATGTCCCTGAAGAGAGTTGCACTTCAGCACTAAAATACTGATGCTGTGTTTGAGGGTAGCAGCACAGGGAGAGAAGGGTGATGTGCTGCTGGGGACACAGAGGACACCAGCAGCTTTTAGGGAAACCACGAAGGAGAAGCATATTGCATGAGTGATGTGGCTGGGGAGGGGGGTGAGGGCAGAGGAACATAAACAGATGCAAAGCATCACCCAGAGGAAAAGCACGAACAGGCAGGGCAGATAGGGCAGGAGTGGCTTTTCTGTCACCTAATTCCTTGAGCAGGTCAATCATCCTTTATCTCCTTTGAGTCAGTCCCTGTGCCATGGAGAGCAGCAGCCGGAACAAAGCAAAGGCGGAGGAGAGCTCAAACTACTGCCCAGCGGGAAGTGAATACTCTGGCACTATTTATTTTTGAGTCTGCATTTGGATTAGCTGTAAAGAGCTATGTGGATAAGCAAGCAGGCAATTACAGCTGGGACGTGCTACTCATGAATGGAAACAGCTCCAATCTGCTCAGGACATATTGAAATTCTAATTCAGTTAGATTCCTTTAGTTACAGCGCTCATCACAGACACTAAAAGAGATAGGATTAGAAAATAAATACAACTCCTGCTGCCTTTGGTCTGTCTTCTGTGCCCCCCTTTCCCTCCTCCCCTCCCCAGTTTTAGCTGTTGTTTGACTTTATTTTCTGTGGTAACATACATCAGTCTGCTCATATTCTTGTTAATTTTTATGAGCATCTAGCAGAGTACAGCTGGCTGGACCCATGTACTGCTGAGGGATGGACAGTGAGCACCAGCACAAAGCCACTGCTGCAGCTTCTCATGTCCCATCTGACTAAAAACCACTGCCCAGGGACATCTGCCAAGGTACAGGTGTGACCTGGAGACTCAGAGCAGAGCAAGGACACAATTTGCAAAAACTCTTCCCTGGCATCACCCCTGGTCCAGACAAGAGCTCCAGCCTGCACTGCTCACCCAGTAAGCAGGTTGGCTCTCTGCTTTGGGTATTGGTGTGAAGCTCCTTCACCACTGCACACAACCACTTTTGCCCTTTTGTGTTTGTGCAGGCAAGTTCCTAAAAGATTTGATTCAAAAAAGTGACCAGGGAAGAGGAGTGCTGGATCAGCCCTGCCAGTGTGACCTGGAAATTCAAGGAAGTTACTTAGCTGTCTGCTGCTGGTTTAATTTCTCTGTCTGTCACTGAAAAATGTTGTATTAAATCTGCTGGAAAATGCAAAGAACAGATAATTGAGCTCTAAATGTCAGAGACTGCTGGATTGGAGGAGCAGGAGGAGCTTGAGTGTGTATCTCCATCTGACTGGCAGTTGTGTTCTATCACACGTGGTCTCCTGGACCTGCTGGGGGACCTCTGAAGGCAGGGGAATGTCTGCAGGTAGGTTGTGAATAGTCCTGACACATCATCTTGGAAACCTGGTTATGGCAGACCCTGGGTAGAAAGTGCTTGTCTCCTTCGGAAGTAAGGAAAGGGCTTGATGGAGAAAGACATTTGGAATATCCAATATGACTGATACTGAGTCATGGAGCTGTGGAACAAGCAACTCTCTGGTAAAAACAAACACCCAGCTTGGCTCTCATGAGCATCTTTCCTCTTTGTCTTATTACAAAAGGGTAAAATTGACATCATAAGCACTCTGCAGTGGCTCGTCATCCTTTCAGAACACAAACTTCACCATCTGTAGCCCTCTTAGTTGAATATGATAAATTGCTCAGATTCACAAAACAAAATTTTGTGCCCAAGTGCTGTAGAAAAGCTCCAGACATAATTTTTTTTTCCCTGCACACATTTCACATCATTTTCACAGAATTTTAAATTTCTATGTCCTTATTTTTTAAAATGTAATTCTGTAGGTGCAACTGCCTATTGGCTCCTGAGTCTAAGTCATGTGCAACATGGCTACAACTCTGTGGACCTTTGAACTCACACACGTGTCCTCTGGAGATCCCTGTTGCTTTGCCTGATTAATTTTTGCTGATTAGGAGCTGTTGTTTTAACAATGAGCTCAATATTAAGATAGTAATTGAATGGGAGTTCTCTCCATTGAGTAGTTCTACAAACTAGCAAAATAGAACAGCTCTTGGGGGCAATGTGTAAACCATATTTCTAATGACCTTTAAACACAGCAAATGCTCACCACTTGGGGACCTCTGCTCGTATATGACCAGATATCTTCTGTCATAGTCTGTGGAGTGGTGGTAAGGATGTCCAAGCCACATATTAGGGACGGAAGCCAACTGGCTGATTGGAAGAACAGTGCAAACCCCTAATTCCTCCTGGGCAGCTACATGCCCCAGAGAAATCTTTCCAATGCAAGAAGAAGGAAGCCTTTCTAGTGGAGACATTCATGTTTAGGACACAGACAAATCCAGCCTGAGGAGCAAGGCAAGGGAGAAAGTTAGAAACTAAGTGGGTCACATGAAGGCAGAGTGTTAGAAAGACAGGGACCACAAGATAAAAGAGAATAATGATGCACAAGAGAGCAGCAGCATACTGCAGCAAGGGAGAAATGAAATGCACAAGGCAGCTGGTATGGGGTGGATGGGAAATCTGGTGAGGCAAGGAGTTGATTGACTGCTGAGATGAGGCTGATGACTGGGCTTAGCCCAGTGCTGCACCAGCCACGAGGTCAAAAATCAGAGTAAACTCCAAAGCACCTGCTCTGCAGATGAGTTCAGTGCCTGGTAGGCTGGATGATGCAGATTCAGCCTCTTTGGAAAACAACAGCTCAGGATTTATGAATCTCTACAGATGTGTCCTTGTAGTATAGTTTTTAGCATAAAACCAGTTTTTCTTTAGAGTCAGGAAAAAAGATAGTGAGAAAGAACAAAAGCAAAGTCTCTAAGACAGAAGAGTGTGCATATGCCTTCAATGCAGTTTTGAAAACCTAAAATGAGAACAAAATCTCTGCTGCTCTCTGAGGGCAGTGGAGCATGCTGAAGAGTGAAAGGGCCATGTCCATGAAACCAAAACCCCGTGTATTTTTGGTCTTATAACTGATCTGGAAATGAAAGCAATGGTAGGAGCAGTCACAGATGCTTCCATTCCTCATATGAAAATAATCTACATTAATTACTGCAAGCATCCAGCTTCAAACAATGTCACTGCAGTGCTATTAGTGTTGAAAAGTATTGAATTTCCAAGGAGGTGAATATCTTTTTCTCTCCCTAATCATGATTACTTGGCTTAGTACTTGGACCAAGCTTCTATTTAACCAAGATAAATGGATATCTCCCAAACAAGCAAGTTAACACTATGCATCACATTATTACTCTCCTCACAGATTTCTTGCCTCGTGTGCTATTTTACTCAGCTGCTAAACACAAATAACAATAGGGACAGGGAGGAGCTATGCAGGATCCTATATGTATTAAATGTAGAATAAGAAATTAATCTGGTTTTGACCATTAATTTGTCCTATTCTGTGACAGCATTTTCCCTTGATCTGTGTAATATAACAACAATATTTTGTCCTATAATTTCTCTTCTGTGAAACACGGGCACCCACACCACATTTTTGCAGATACCACCAGACTATCTGACTAATACTGTGTCACTTCCTGCTCGGAATTCTTATTTATCATTTAAGTTGATTTGCCAGCACTGTAGGTTAGCATTCAGAAGAGCAGATGGGGAATTAGAGACAAAACTTCTGTCAGTGATAACGGGACTTCCATGCTTCATTTCCCCCAGGGCACAGTGAATGTTTTCCTTTTCAACAGTGCTGGGCAAAACTGCCTTAAGGAATTGGTGGCAGCAAAGCTGTGAGCTGGCAACACACTGAAATTGTCAGAATGCAGGGATAGATTTTGGGTTGCTGGGCTTTATGTGGGAAGTTATTTTGTAATAGCTCCCGGGAAGATATCCATCTCAGTACTGGAGTTCCAGTGCAAGACACCCAGAGAGAATTGACTTTCTGGGAGAGTAAGTGAGAGCCTGGCACTGAACAACTTCTTCTCCACAGGTGGGTTCACCTGACAACACTTCTGGCTGTGCTGCCCAGGGCAGGCTGCATATCCATGAAAGGTCCTAATTTAAGTCTCCAAACTCTCCAAATCCCACTATTTCAGCATCACCCTGATCCCCACTGCTGCTGGGGAGCACCTCAAGGCTGTGCATGGGCAGCTCAGAGAGGGGGTTTTTTTCCTCCCCATCTCCTCCAGCTTTACTCAGGGGCAGTGTCCAGGACAGGCCACATGTCCTTGTGCGTGGATGTGTGAGGTCCACACACGCTGTACCTTCCTTCAGGGGAAAAGCTCCCCCATTTCTCCAGCAGCTCTGTGCACCACCCCTTTCCCAGGCTCTGCTGGGACCAGAACCAGAGTGCAGAGGACCTCCCAAACTGGGATGTGGTTCATGTGCTGCCGCCTCAAAATTCCTCACCACCAAGGAGTCACAGCCAGAGGAACATCCCAGCTCTGTCCTGGGGACACTCCCAAGCTGGAGAGCCCTGTGGCACCTCCCTGGGATCAGTGACCCCCACAGACTGCTGGCTTTGCCATGGGCTGTGCTGTGGCAGGAACCATCAGGATCAAGGCAGAAATCGCTGTCCTAACACCCCAAACATCACAGGGAGTGTCTTCACAGCTCTGTCAGTGCCCATAGCTTCACTGCCCCTGAAGACACACAGGAGACCTGCCCAGAGAGCAGGAGGTGGCCCCTGTCCTCCAGTGCCACACAGATGGGATTTGTTCAAATAATTGCCACAGGTCCTGCACCATCTCAGCTTCCCTGGCTTTTGTCTCTAAGGTGTCCATCATTTGGCCAGCCTCCACCCACCTTCTTCCAAACAGCAAAAGGCTTTCACTAATCATTTGATACTGCTATTAATGAAACAAAGAAATAGATGCTGAAAATCAGAACCTATGTGTTATGTCTGTATGCTCTGCTCTTTAGGACAGTTTAACGATTACATGTCAATTTTCACCCAGATTGATGTTTCTATGGACATTCTTCCTGCCTCCATCTCTTTTAAGAATCTCTGAGCCCCAGTAATCATGTGAATTACATTTGAATCAAAATGCAGAAAAGCTGTGTGGTCACATTGACCTTGAAATCCTCACGACCATTTCCATTAAAAAGGTGCTTTACAGCAGAGCTTGTGACTGAGGAGGCTGCTACGGGAAGTATAACCACAAATATTTTTCATATGGAGATATTCTCAGAATTCTACCTCACTCCTAAAAGCTGGTGATGGAATTCTCCAAATGGTTTTGATCATTTAAGCAGATATACCTGTAGGATAACTTGTGAAGGTGTCAGTTAATGCCCTGCTCGTGCCTTGAGCTGTCCCTGTTGTAAAGTGTGTGCCTGTAATACAGTGTAGTAAATAAATAACAGCTGGTAGTCTTCCTCCAAATGTGCTCAGAGGGCTTTTATCTTTTATCCCTTATTGATTTCATAGTAGTAATTCAATAAGAGCAAATATTATCAGGAACTGCATTTTTATTGTATTTTAACTTTCACCTATACTTGCTCCTCTTCCTTACACTAGAGCTGCTTTTTAAAAATTCTTTTTAAGCTGCTGTACAAGCTTAATGAAGTCCATCATTTCAGTGCTCTTTGATATGTACTCAGAAGAGACTGGGTACTTGATTTTCTTCTTATTTACACCTGTGAGGTCAGCAGCTGAATGCAGAAGCAAGCAAAGGGCCAGAGCAATGCCACAGAGCCTGTCAGCACCACGACAAAGGCTTTTCTTCAGTTTGCAGTGGTCCTTTGGGAAATCTTAACAGCTGCACTAATGTTGGATGTAATTGAAGAAGAATGCTCCTTAAACAGGCAGGCAGTTCAGTATTTAAACATAATGACTGTTAAGGAATGCTTGAAAGCTGATTTTTGACCTTTGTGTAAGGCAAAAAAGAGATTTTTTTTTCAGTATCTGTACAGATTTAAAAAAATGATGTGGAACATTTTGTTCAATAGTAGCTTTTAAAAATTTCTTCATAGTGTTTGTATTTATTTTTACATTTTGCCACAATGGAAATTCAATCAAAGTCAAGGATTTTATCACCTTTCCACTTGACTGCCTGAGTCAGATGCTTAAAATGTAACACCAGCAGCCCTGTGAGTAGTTGATTAAAAAAAAAAAATCAACCTTTTGCACTATAGCTCAGAGAAGTGCCTTGTTGGGTTTTTTTTCTGTACTCTGGTGGAGTAATTTGCTATCAAAACACGTTTTCACCTAAAGTGGTCTGCTACTGGCACATTACAGGGG